AGGAGTTAACTTTTGTGCCAGAAGTGGAGTAAATGTTTCTCTTTATTTTAGATTCCAACCGTGCAGCAGCAGCATCACCTTCCTCATTGCAGTAAGAGAGGTAAAGTCAGTATAAAATTGATACCAGTATGTCAGTGATCACAGGGATTTTGTCCTTGGCTCATATACATATGTATGTGTATGGTACTCTCTAGATTAAAACAACTTGTGTCACATTCTGCCTTTTATTTATTTTATGTGTCATGTGTGATACACACTTAGGCGATCATGTATCTTTCAATACATGACTGACAAGGCAAATTTTTTCCTGCAGTAGGTTTCCATTTTTTTCTGTGGTAGACAAGTTGTCATCCAAGGCTATAGGAAACAATCTGTCCTGCTATTTACCCATAGCTGGGGGGAGAAGACGAGAATTCATACCTTTTCCAAGGGTATTAGCACGTAAGTGAATGTCATGGATTTGACTGGAATTCGAGCTCAGCTCTCTGATTCCTCAATCTGAGCTACTATCCATTACTGCACCGTGACATCCTGCCTTAGTAAACTGTTATCTCCAAAAATTCACTATAAATAAGCATACATGATGAAAAAATGCCCCAATCTTAATAAAAACAAAGTTTTATCATCAAATATTTATGTTATTGTTAAGAGAAAAAAACAAAAAAATTTTTCTTATTAAATTGTATTTTTTAATTCTTTTTAGAATGTTAAAAATTTTGGTTAAAGATGTTTTTCTTGTGTCAATGGGTGACCTTAAATTAGTATGGGAAATTTGAGTGTCTTTTCTATGTGACAATGTGAAAATCAATGACTTGGAAATCCTTTCAAAAATCAGATAATTGTTGTATTTTAATGAAACTTTCAGGACTTATTCACAAATGAAGGAAGTTATTCTAGAAAAGTCCCTTTTTTAGAAAATCTTGGTAAGTATAGTAATACAGCTAATTTTTATAATTCTTTATAGCACTTGAATGTAATTACACACTAATTGGGGAAAATAAAACTATAGCATTCTTGCAATTAGTCATAGTTACAATTAATATAGTAAATAAATTTCCAATAATTGATAAAATGTAAATCTGCAGTTTATTTTTAAAACAAAATTTATATCTGTAAAGGTGTGTGTAGATGTACCTTTTCATAATAAAGGTTTTTTATTATTTAAAATATCCATAGAAATCACATGTGTCTGATATAGAAAAAGTTCATACATTTCAGTAAATAAATGTATGAACTTTTTATAGGAGAAAATTACATTTAGGACATTTTATAGAACAGGACATTTTATAGGTGAAAAAGAAGTACAAGTGATAAGAACCTGGTTTCAGTTGGTTGTCTTTTGATTTCTAGTCACTTTACTCACTTTGGGAAAAAGAAGATGAACTGGCATTTTTGAGTCACTTACTTACCTGTTGTAAAGTTTTTATTTTATTTGTTTTTAGGGGATACAAACTAAAACGATTTTTAATTTAAAACAGCAATTAGTTGAAAATTTTGTGACCTGCTTTCTACTATATCTGCAAATTTTAAAATTTATTTTATATTTGGAAGCTTTTTGCTGGGTTTTTCAGTTTTTATATTTTGATCTTCATTTTGTTTAGCTTTTTGAGATACCACTGAAATAGTTATCTGATGTGTGAGATATTTTAATTTTCTCATCCAAATTGCAAAGTTCTCTATAATTTCTTATAATAAAAAATAAAAAAAAAATCATTATATTTTTTCAAAGTTATTCATCTTCCCAAAGATTATTTCTTTTAAATAATTAAATTATTTATATCAGAATTATTACTGGAACTAGCAATATTCATTTAAGTTACAATTGCATGTATGTATCACTCATTGTCTTTGAATTCTGGTATCACTATAACTCATTGTTTGAAATATTATTGACACAATTTTTGCTATTTTTATCCTTAAACTTACTTTTATTTACAAATATTTCAATAATCCCTTGATACTTGATTTTAGTCCCTTGAGATTTTGCATCCCTTAAACAAAAATGTATTGTAGAAACTGAAACATTATTATTGGTTGCAAGAGTAACAAACGAAAACAAAAAAGTATTTACTGATAGATGAGTTTTTGAATACAATAAATAAAAACATTATTCAATCATGCACTTAACTGCCAATAATTCTATGACATAATTTAAACTTGCTCTGTGAAGTTTGTGTTAAGATTTCTGAGTATTTATTATTCTTATTTCATAGTCCAAATCCTGTGGTGTGAAATAGAAAAATTGAAATTCAAGGAAATAATTTTTATGATGATAGTTAGTTGATTATTTTGCAACCCCATGAAATTCAATAACAAACATCTGGTAAATTTCTATTTTAACACCCGCGCTAAATATCTCTGAAAATTTTCAAAAATCGTCATAATTCCATGCAAATGGACATTTTGAACTCAAATTAACAAGTAAATTATGAAGAAACCTACCGTTTTGGAGTTAACGACAAGAAAAAAATCGAACTTCTTGTTGGTCATTCATCCCCCATTACTGCCATAGTGTTTAGTAATACAGTGCGGGGTACTTCCGGTAGCCTTTGGCCTATTTACTTCTTTTACAGACTTTCCTTGCAGAAGATCACTATGCACTACCATAAAGAAATGTAATTTTTTTTTTGGTAAGTGTAGTTTTATTTATAACAAAAACAAATTTAATAATACAATAGAAATTTTTTTCCATTTCGAATAGCAATGACAAATTAAAAGAATAAATTAAATAATAAAAATAAAGCATTTTTTATATTTTAAAATTGACAATAAAAAAAAATTAATGCACAACCTTGGTAAATTATTTAAAAATTTTTTTTAATTTGTTCCATTTTCTACACAGAAAGAAAACCCCATCCCTAACCTTAACACCTAACTCTAAAGTTAACCCAGTTTATTGTATTATTTAATTTTTTTTTTTTAATTTGTCCCCTTTTTTACACAGAAAGAAAACCCCAAGGCAGTAAGTTGAACATTCAAGGTAACTTGTTATTTTATGTTTAAACTAAATTAGTTTACCACAGAGCCAAGAATACAAAGTGTCTTAATCAACCAATAATAAATTTCTGACTGATAATAATATCCTCTGATTAAAAGGAGTTCCTTCCTAGCCTTTTCTTTATGTTGTAATTTTTGTTTGTTTTAATTTTAAGTAAAACTACACTTATCCAAAAAAAAAAATTACACTGCTTTATGGTAGTGCATATTGATTTCGGAAAAAAACTTATGTAAAGGAAGTAAATAGGCCCAAATTTAATCTTGCGCCAGCGGATGTACTCGGCACTGAATCAGTGAACATTATGGCAGTAATAGGGAACGAACGACCAACAAGAAGTTCGATTTTTTTCTTGTCGATAACTCTAAAAACGGTAGGTTTCTTCATAATTTAATTGTTAATTTGAATTCAGCATGAACATTTACACAGAATTATAACGATTTGGGAAAATTTTAAGAGATATTTAGCGCACGGGGGTTTGGGCGTTAAAATGTAAATAACTCCAAAAACAGTAGGTTTCTTCATAATTTAATTGTTAATTCGAGTTCAGCATGAACGTGGGGTGATGCGTGAATCTATTACGCATGAACATACATACAAAAATACAAATCACAGCAATTGTGACAATTTTGTGCACTTTTGGGAGAAATGGATCACAGAAGATTTCTTAAGTCTCCCCAAAGCTCGCTCGCTGATTGGTTGATGCCAACCAATCAGATCGTTTGCACATGAAGAATAATTCTTCCTGCGCAGCAATTTGGAGCCTACAGTCACTTATTTAAGCTAAGGTCTTTTTCATCTCATGAGTGAGATTTCAGCTGCCAAACAAATCCACAACAGTCGAAACCATGCGCCAACTTTCTCACTCACATGCTGAATATACCTTGTACGCATTCGCATAAACTCTTCTGACACAACAATATCTTTCAAGAACAATCATTGCAAGAGAGAGACTCATGAACATTCTTCCAATGAACTTTGGAACACTAAAATAATAGTTAAAGAGAGACAACACTTGGTTAATTCAATCTTTACTTACTTAAATGCATGCTTTCCTTCACATCGTTGTTTGATGTACATTTTGTTAAATACAAATTTTATGTGTAACAATGTCTTTTGGTTATCCTTTTCTGCGTGAGCCCTGTTTCCTAATCTAAAGTTAAATTAGTGAAGTCCGCCACAAACATTTACACAGAATTATGACGATTTGGGAAAATTTTAAGGGATATTTAGCGCGCGGTCGTGGGCGTTAAAAAGCAAATTTACCGTATTTTAATTCTATAGTTTTGCAAATAAAAATTTTCAAATCGTCGCTCTTTTTAGTTTTTACTTTTATCAGAAATATGACAGTATTGATTAGTTTTAGCTTTGAAAATTAAATTTATGATGTTTTGTAAATCTATTCCACGTGAGATATAAAAATTTAAAAGAGTATGCACTAATTAGAAAAGAAAAGTTTTATTTGATACAAAAAAAAGGACCGGAATGACGTGATTGAAAAAAATTCTTAACAGCTTAAACTTGAAAAAGGAATTTTTTAAATCTGATTTTTTTAAAAAATGCATTAGAAGTTTTAAGTAGTTTGATTCTAATTTATTTACCGTTGATGTGAGAAAAATAAAATAAGAGGAATAATTTTAGAGACCTTTCAGTGGACACCGCAATCCCAAAAACTTCTTTATGCAATATTGTTAAAAAAAAATGTATATGATTATGCGACGATGAAGTATAAAATCGAAAGTTGAAACATTAAGTGCTCATTAAAATAAATATATGTCTGTAATGGTAGTATGAACAATTTAGGAATCCAAAATTGGAATTTGATTAAAAATGCGTGTTTACAAACTCAAAGCAACAGTTGATTGGTTTTGTAATCGTGTTTGTTGTGTAGCAACCGGCGCCATTTATAAACATACCAGAAAAGATGCCTATCTTAGTGAAAGATTACACATGGAAGGAAACAGAAAATTTGATGACTGTTATTGTGACTCTGAAAGGTGTACACATGAAAATATTAGACATTTTCATAACCGATGACTATCTTAAGGTAGGTTGTTATTTAATATTTTGTAAATTTTAAAATAGTCGAGGTTACCGATAGTACATTGAACGTCAACTCATACTCATCATGTGGGAAGTCAATGTAATCTCCTATCAGGAAATCACGTTTCTTTTTTCATTTATTTTAACATCGACAAAAGATCCAAGTAGTAAACTTTAGTTTAAAGTAACGAACCTATTTCACTCGCAGAAGCTGATATCTATTTCGGCTTGACTACTGTTTTTTACTGAGCACACAATCATCACGGAGGAAGGAAACGACTTCAATGAAAAACAGCTGACTAGAGAGTATAACACACGTACCTTACTGATTATTACGGTGGCGAAGAATGAATTCAAAGAAAACCTAAGAATAACAACTAATAATTTAAATAAGATAACCTCGCCTATTAATTCTAATAAGCATGAACCTAATTAAAATTAACGGTAGATGAATGAAGTTAGTAGTAGTTTAGTTCAATTATGCCATTGGGTGATCCGATTGTTCAATGAAGCCTGGGCAAACCAAGAGGATCGCCTTGGGCCTGAGGTATAATTGTCAAAATATTGTCATGAGATCCCATCACTCTTTTTTTAGTCAATTATTAATGTTTTAATTTTATTAACTTCAAGTCGTTGACTACCTCTAGGACCGTGTGCCCGGTAAACGGTAGCCGAGTCTTTACTTTTTCTGTTAGTTAATTCACCCCAAAATAATAAGAAATTATATTTAATTTACTTAAAATTTCCCAGAGCGAGGCCCTTTGATTGCACTCCGGTTGGGTTGACCTTTGCGATCGCCCCAAATGTGGGCGATTCGGATGCGTTATTTCTCTGTGTGGAGTCGTCGTTCACGTTCATCCCGATAAACAAGCCCAAAACAGATTTTTTTTTCTTTTTTGTTTAAATTGTAAGGAATTCCTTGTAAGTACCTCGCGAATGTCATCCACGCTTATCAAATGTGAATAACTCCCTATTTTTTGGTAATTTTTCATTCTGACTTCTGAGAATTGGAGTTGTTGCGAGACAAGCTAAAAACGAATTTTATAAGTAAAAGTTCAAAAGCGTGCCAAAAATTTAATAAAAGACAAATAAACTTTGATTTTGTAATTTCTTTGGTTGAATTATTTGCGATAAGTAACTTTACATTATTTGGGGAAAGATCCTTATTTTTTTATGAATTTTTAAAATAGTTTTTAAATGAATTTATTTTTCTTTACCCCTCTTTAAAATATAATTTCAATTTTTAAAAATTATAATTTTATAATTTTGCATTCAAAATTTGTTCTCAAATATTTAATTAATTACAAAAATATTTCCTTTAAATAATGAAAAATCTTTTGTATTTTCATTTGTGTCTACGACCTTTTTTTTATTTAAGTGTTAAAAATTAAAGTGTTAGTTTAAAAATCCCATGTTTTATTTTTTTATATTAACAATTGTTTTTATAAATCATTACTTTTCCTTTAAATTATCCTTATTCATCCAGCCTAAGATTTTCTTCACTTATGCACATTGCACAATAAAGATGCTGATGAAAAAGCTATTTAAAGTAAATCATTTCTCTAAATACAAGATTTAAAATTTTCAGAATTTTCCTTTCCTTATAAAGGTTTTTGATTAAATATTAGTTATTAAAACTCTAAAAGACTGAGATAAAAACCTAAAACTGTAATTATAAGCTATAATATAAATGAAGCAATTTATCATCTTATTTTGAAATAAAATTTCAACTATTTAACTCCAATAAATAATTTAGAATTAATGCTGATTGATAAAAACACCTACATATATTAGAAAGCAAAAGTGGTCTGTTATTCACCTGATCTTTTTTTGCCCAATTATATAAAATTCAAGTTCAAATGAATAATTTTTATGATCTAGTCAATTTAACCACATATGGATCAATTATGTCCATCTGATAATTTAAAAATTATTTATGAATAAAGAAGACAAATTCCTAATTTCTCTATTCTTATAAATATATCTAAATTTTTAAAATGTTTCTTATTGCTTCAAAAAGATAATAAAAATTTCGGAAAACTTGTGAAGACTATCAAATGATCAACTAAATCAAATGATCAATTTTTTGTAAATGCTAAAGCACATATAATTATATTTTTCTGTTATCTTTTATTTGTTTTAGGTAAATTATACCCAATTTTTCTTTGAGTGCTTTCTGCGAAACAAAATTGACCATAAGAAAAGCCTGGCCCATGTTGGAAATGGAGAAGTGATTTTTCAGTTATATAAAGAAACTCCAGGCCTTTGGAACAAACTTGAATCAGAAATCATAGGTAATTTTTTCATTTCCATTGCTATAGAAATGTTATATCTCGTGCAAGATATAATAAACAAAGTAAACCCGAGTGTTGGTTTTCAATAATAATTTTATAATCGGATGTAGGTATGTCAAAATACAGAGACCAGAGTCGGGAGTATGCTAACCTCAATAGGTGTTAACAAACGAAGACCTTTTTTCACTGTCCGTGGTGGTAGTACTTAATCGGCAACCAGTCCGTCCATTATCGTGAATGGGGAAGTTGGGTTATCTCATCACAACTCCTCCCCCGGAAGCTGAAATTCTCCCTTTTGAAAATTTCTGCTTCTAATGTCGTCTTCTTTTTGGATCCGGACTAAAACGCTCCACTGGTTTTCTTTCCCGTGTGCTCCTTCTTTAGTCGTCACAATTAGATCCTTTTTTTGGCGAAGATAATTTCCGCTTTTCACCCGTAAGGCTGGTCCATGCGATACAGGTTCAAATACACTATTGGGTAGTGTCATGTTAAAAGCATCGCATAACACTTCCATCGGAATTTCTTCTTCGCTTTTTCACTTTCTTCACCATATCGTGGTCTAATCTGATTGATGTGTCTTTTACACGTAAATTTTTTACTTTTAATCGTGTAGACCACTTTACCAATCCTTTTCTGGATTATGCCATCCATCCAATAGCTTTTTCCACTTAAAATTTTTGAAAAAAAAAACCGTCTCCTGAAGTGTATTTTTTTATGTTGACTTTTTCCTCTTTCTTAGCAACTTTCTGTTTTGATATGGTAACAATCTATCGAAAATTGATCTAATTTTCCTTGCGAACATAATTTCCGCCGGTGACATTTTCGCATCGTTGTTCTCATTAGGAGTTACCCTATAGATTGCTAAGAACTTCTGAATAGTTCTTTCTTCCGTGTCCATACCTTTATTTTTACGTAAAGCACGTTTAAAGGTGTCAACAAATTTCTCGGCTTGACCGTTCGACCTGGGATGACACACTGGTGTAGTTATGTGTTCAATGTCTAAAGCAGTACAGAAATCCTTAAACTCCATACTTGTGAACGCCGTACCATTGTCGCTCACCAATGTCCTGGGAACCCCGAAACGACTGAAAATTTCATCCAATGCACTGATGGTGTTCCTAGATGTAGGATGCTTGCACGACTACCTCAGGCCATTTCGATAAAGAGTCCACCAATATCAAGTAATAGTACCCATTAATTGGTCCAGCATAGTCTATATGTAGACGTGCCCACGGCAAATCCGTTTTCGGCCAAGGATTCATTTTGACCGGAGATGCCCTTACAGCCAATTGACAACCTCTACACAGTCTTACAAAGTTACCGGCAATTCCCTGATTGTATTCAACAAGAAACCTGATATTTCTTTTTCCTCAGTTAATGCTGCTATAACCGTCTCTTCTAACATTTCTTCATTTTTTGGAATCAGCCTTGACAATCCATCCGCATGCCCATGTTCTTTAGATTTGACGTATTCCATCCTAAATGGTAATTAAAATAGGGTTACACCCATCGCCGTAAGCGATTAGCTGTATGCGTAGGAATGTCTTTTTTACCTCCAAATATTGTAAGTAACGGTTTATGGTCCGTTTGAAGTACAAATGATCTACCATGTAAAAAACGATGGTATTTTTTTAACCCCGGACACAATCGACAAAGCCTCTTTCTCGATCTGACTAATTTTTTTCAGCCGGAAAAAGAGTCCTCGACGCGTGCGCGATCGGTTTAGTAGTGCCATCATCATATTTGTGTAGCAGTGCAGCACCCACTCCGTACAAACTTGCGTCAGTTGCCAGAATGATCTCTTTCTCAGGATCATAATGTGCTAAGGCGAGATCTGAGAGTAGGCATTTTTTTATTTTCTGAAAAGCCGTCTCGCAATCTTTTGACCAAAACCATTTCTTGTCTTTTTTTAACAATTCGTTAAGGGGGCTCTTAAATCATACATTTTAGGTATGTAGATCGCATAATATTGTGCCAACCCCAGAAACGATTGTAGTTTCGCAACTGTGTCGGGTGCAGGCATGTTCTTAATTGCATCGGCTCTCTGTGTGTCCGGTTTCCTGCCTTCACTGTCTATTACCTGTCCGAGGTATGTAATTCTTTCCATGAAGAATTTACACTTCTCGTGGCTTAATTTAAAGCCAAACTCTTCTAGTCTTTTGAATATCGCTCTGATGTGCGTTTTATGTTCTTGAACATTCTTACTTTTGACTAGAATGTCATCTAAATAGGCGGTACCAAACTCAAGGCCTGCCAGCATAGTGTCCATCACCTGTTGAAACAAAGCTGGAGCGACCTTTAAGCCGAAAGGAAGCCTATTTAGCTTATAAATACCTTTATGTGTATTTATACACAAATATTTTGAGCATTCTTCACTCACTTTAATCTGCAAGTATGCGTCAGACAGGTCGATTTTTGAAAAAATCTTCCCACCATTCAATTTTGAAAAAAATATCTTCTGGTGAAGGTAGTGGATAACTGTGATTTTTTAAGGCAATCATTTAAACCTGTTGAAAAATCTGCACACACTCTTATTTTTCCGTTTTTTCTTCTTAACATAAACTGTGGGCGAGGCCCAATCCGAATGGTCAACCTTAGATATCACTCCCATTTTTTCAAATCTTTCCAATTCCTTATTAATTGTGTCTAAGGAGGAAAAAATAACGTTTCTCTTAGGTTTAAAAATTGGTTTCACGTTTTTCTTGAGTTCAAATTTGACTTCCGTCTTAGTACATAAACCCAATCCCTCAGAAAAAAACTCTGGGATATTCTTCTTTTAATTCATTTATGAATTTTTTCATTTTTAATACTTTTTTGTTTTTCTGCACTGTTTATTACGTTGCAAAATGAGTTAATCGGGAGTTCAAACAAATCCAAAAGTACTATCCAGTCTATTCCAAAAGACATGAATTAATCCCTTGGATTACATACACTTTCGTTTTGCAGTCTTGCCACATAACGAAATATCGCACTTTAATTCTCCCTTAAAGTTTAATTTCTTTCCTGAAACCCCTCTAGAGGTTTTTTTTGGTTTCAGATAATTTTAGATCTTCCAATATTTTCCATGTTTGTTCATCAATGATGCTTATGTCTGAACCAGAATCCAATAGGAAAGTAATTGTATGATTATTTATACGTACATCTACGTACTTTCTATTTTTACCTTTCTGAATTTCTTTTTCTGATAATACCAGGCTTACATCTTGTAATTTCCTTTTCTTGTGGCAAACCGAATATTTATTGCACTTTATTTCCGCACGATTGACAGAATTTATTTTTGTACCAACACACGTCTTTGGTATGGTTATTTTTTCCACACGTCTCACATTTTTCTATCTTTTTGGCTTTTGGAGTTTTTCGAGTTTTTACGTGTCGAACATTAGCAACACTTTTCTCCTCAATTTGTGTATTATCCCTTTTTAGTACGTTTATGAGACGTTGGCATTCTTCGGTCACCCTTTGTAATGTTATTTTCGAGTCTTGCTCGACCATTATTAATATTCTCGACCTAATTTCTTTATATTTAGGATAAGTTAGTCCTTGAAGAAAAATTAGGCACTTGAATACATCTTTGGTTATTTCTTCTAACTTGAATTGTTCAACCAGAGAGTTCACTGTTCCCGCGTATGTCACAAAATATTCCTTTCGTCAAATATTTTTGACAGAATATTTATAGTTTCTTCAAACGAAACTTCTTCTGGCTTTCTGGGCAATATCAAGTTTGAGTACTTCCTATTCTCGCTTGTCCCTAGTTTCTGGACTAATAATGTTACTCGTTCCTCATCCGACCAATGTTGACATCTCTTGGTAAATATAGTTTCGAAACGTTTAAAGTATGCTGGAAATGTAATGCCCGAATCAGGGTCATAAATAAATTCGGATAATGAATTTGCTATTTCTTCGGCAGAAAAAACAGTATTTTTTCTTTCTCCAGTCGCCTGTTTCAGAATTTTTTCGAGACTTTTTTGATGTTGCAATATTTGTTGTTGTAAGTCTTGGTGCTGTTTTTGTTGCAACTCTTGATGCTGTTGTTGTTGCAAGCTTGTACACAGCATTTTAGTCATTTCGACTAATTGCTCCATCCTGACTTTATTTAGAATTCGGCAAAAAAAAAAAAAAAAAATTTTTTTTATATATACGGTTAACAGACACTTTACAGCCGTAATATTTTTACAACCCGTAATTTTTACTTGAATAATCAATTATTAGACCGGCTCGCATTTGAGTCGCGGTTCAATATATATTTTTCAAATCACAATTTAACAGTAAAATTTTTCTTACTTTTCAAAAAGTTTCCTTTTGATTTGTGACTCCGTTTTCGAAATCCTAATCGGCGTCAACTGATATCTTTGACTTGCGAATCTGCTTCCGAAATCCGTTCAGCGTATATATATATATATATATATATATATATATATTTTTTTTTCAAGTAAGTACGTTGCACAATCCTCGTCGCCAGCTGTTATATCTCGTGCAAGATATAATAAACAAAGTAAACCCGAGTGTTGGTTTTCAATAATAATTTTATAATCGGATGTAGGTATGTCAAATATAGAGTCAGAGTCGGGAGTATGCTAACCTCAATAGGTGTTAACAAACGAAGACCTTTTTTCACTGTCCGTGGTGGTAGTACTTAATCGGCAACCAGTCCGTCCATTATCGTGAATGGGGAAGTTGGGTTATCTCATCACAACAAGAAATGATTTGAAATTACTAAAAAATAAAGAGACTTTTTTGTAATTGAGGGATCAGGATTGCCATTTCTAGTTTTTGACTTTGTCTAATGCATCATATATAGGTACCTCCATGAGATCGCTAAAAAAGAGCATAGCATGATGAAAAAGTTGCCAAACTTGACAAAAACAAAATTTTATCGTCTAAATGTTTATGTTATTATTAAGAGGAAAGATCAAAGTATATTGGAGGTATTTTTTTACATTTTTTAATCGTTCCTAGCAAAATTTTCGTTAAAATCTTGTTTTTTTTTGGGGTCAACAAAA